AAAAGCTTAACCTCAGATAGATCTGCAAGGAAACAATCATTTAATTCAAATATTAACTTATTTTCGTTAACTGGCAGTTCTTTAATCTCAAAATAAAAATTTACTACGGTCCTTCTACAATAACACTTATTCTTGTGTTATAAATAAAAAATCTTCTAGAAAGGTTATAAACAGGGTTCAAACTGGACACCAATGAAAATTTTCAAGCACTTCTCCATAGCCTATAATCTCACTTTCAAGCAACCTTGCTTGAAGAAATTGCTATCAAATAATTAAAGGACATTTATGTTCAGCAAGGATTCCCTTTACATTGAACCACTGAGAGACTCATTTAACAGAAAAGATAGCTCATAGTCAAATATAAACATTTAATTTTTCATAAAAGTGATATGCAACATTGAACAACTGTAATAAAACTTTTGCCCATCCCCCCAATGCCAATCACTTTCTTCCAGACCTTACAAAAGGCCTTGTGTTTGTCAGGTCCATTGAGCTCACACCATTGTCAGTAGGGGCCATTTACTATCCAAGTTTTTACATAATCACTCACGCTAAAACACAGAATTGTACATCAAACGGGAATATACAGACTTGATTACAAACAGACATAACGATGGTCCTCTGGTTTATTTTGATTAAAAATATTATTTGACTAGCCATCCTTACTCGAGTGTTACCTGAACAGAGGGTTGATGTTTAGTTACTTTTAAACAGAACTGATCAAAATTTCACTTTTCATGTAACAATACATGTCAAATGGTCGTATTTCTGCAAGATAAATGTCTTAAGAACATAAAAATTAAAGAAAATAAATTAAATTGTAGACTTATTGTACAGTTCATTGCAATGCCTCTGGATAAATGACATTTTTGGTTACTTGTGGAGTCTCACTGTCACTTTTGTTGCATACATTTTGCTACTCGTGATTGGCAATCAGAATTATTTTTCTCTACATTTCACTCCAAGGTACGTAATCAGCATCAGAAATGTTTATGATACCAAACTCTTCTACCAAAATAAAGTGAATAAAAACCAATTTACTTTTGCAGAAATTCACGGGTTAGTCTTGTTTGATGGATTTATATTCTGACACCACAATGATAGTTCGCATTTCTATAAAATACAAATTTTTCTGACATTATTTCCACTTATATCAGAACAAAAATCTGGTCCGTCTTCTGTGGAAAATATTAGATTTCAAAGTTTTCATTGATGCTAAAAATTTGACGTCACAGACATTAAACCTGAGTATGCTTACTCCATATCTTTATAGGCCTACTATTATAGGAACTGAAAAATGTGAACAGACAGACACAAACTTAGCTTGAAGAAAGTTTTGCATTATTCGTATCTCTTTCAATTTTTTTTAATATAAAGTCATGTTTATTTGTTTGTTTTGTTGTACAAATAATAATGATTTTTATTCATAAATTTTTTATAAGTTTGAAAATCAGAAATTCTATTTTTTCAAACACAATCACTGAAAGAATTCTTAAATGATAAAAATGCAAAAAAAAGCCATTTTTACTATAGCTTTTTCATCAATATATTTTTTTATAAGGTTTTATTCGAAATAATAACTTTATAATACAATTTCTTAATCTCTCACACATATTTTGAAAATTGTTTTTTAGATACAAACATTTAAATATAAGCATTTCCACCAATAATATGAATTCTGACACATTACAAAACTTATTGCTTTACACTATTGGAGGAAATGATAATACGTATAGTAACCACTTGCATGGTTTCTTTTAAAAAAATGTAAAACAGTTTTGTAACAACAGGTTTTAAAAAACATTGTACAGAATAGAACCCAAACTCTTGTTTAGCCCTCGATTAAAAAATCACTCTCTCAGATAGGCAAACTATTCAACTTACTTACAATATTTAGAAACTTACACAAACACAGTATCTAATGGTTTTCATGTAAAATTAAACCTTTAGTTTCACAATGTATTATTTGAAGAATGAAATATCCCTTTATTTTTCTCTACATATTACCTATAACTGTATCTTCCTTATGTTTTTTATTTCAAAGCAATCAATTCATATTCTATATTCATCATAATTGCACGTATTCAATAACTTTAATACCAGATATCAATAATTGTTATGACTGTTGCCAAGATACATATTTTAAACAGTTTTTTCACCCAGTACATTGTTGCCTAACGAATGCTCCAGTAAGAGAGCCAAAAGTTAGCAAATAAAGTATTTTAATGTAGAGAAAAGTCCATGTATAATACAAATAATACCGAGGTAAACATCCTCAGTATTCCCTTAGTTCCTGAGCAAAGTTTCAGGCCCCTAAGTTCTTTCCTCCTGGAACTATGGTACTGACTGAAACACAGGCTGTTTTATCAGTATAGATTGCTAAAATAAACTTTTATATGATAAAGATTAAAACCATAAATTTTAGTGGAATACAAATTTCAAGCACTTGCCTCCAAATTATGGTCTTTTCAAGACCTGAACTTGACTTTTAATAACCCTTAAAATTGATTTTCATTTTCAAGGGCTGTTCAAGGTTTTCAGGCACCAGTGCAAACCTTTGTTTACTCACACCTGTCACCATATGCAGAGGTTGAATGTATGTAACATAAACATAATAAACTCATAATCATGTGTACCAGATCAGAAAAGTTCAAATCATCTCATCTTCACATATACCATACCTCTTGTCTTATGGTGTCAAGAGCAAATAGCCCAAGAAAACAGGTCATCTGCAGAAGAAAGTTGATTAATAGGGCTACTCCAGCATAAAGTGCAAACAATTTCACAGCTGGCATTTCAGTCAAGGCACCTACAAAACACATTAAAATCCATTAGCACAACAACCTCACCCTTTGTCAAAACACATCATAATCCATTACCACAACAACCTCATCCTTTGTCAAAACACATCATAATCCATTAGCACAACAACCTCATCCTTTGTCAAAACACATCATAATCCATTACCACAACAACCTCATCCTTTGTCAAAACACATCATAATCCATTACCACAGCAACCTCTTCTTTTGTCAAAACACATCATAATCCATTACCACAACCACCTCATCTTTCATCAAAACACATCATAATCCATTACCACAACCACCTCATCCTTTATCAAAGCACATCATAATCCATTACCACAACCAACTCATCCTTCATCAAAATACATCATAATCCATTACCACAACCACCTCATCCTTTGTCAAAACACATCATAATCCATTAGCACAACAACCTCATTCTTTGTCAAAACACATCATAATCCAATACCACAACAACCTCATAATCCATTACCACAACAACCTCATCTTTTGTCAAAACACATCATAATCCATTACCACAACAACCTCACCCTTTGTCAAAACACATCATAATCCATTACCACAACAACCTCATAATCCATTATCACAACAACCTCATCCTTTGTCAAAACACATCATAATCCATTACCGCAACAACCTCATCCTTTGTCAAAACACATCATAATCCATTACCACAACAACCTCATAATCCATTACCGCAACAACCTCATAATCCATTACCGCAACAACCTCATCCTTTGTCAAAACACATCATAATCCATTACCACAACAACCTCATCCTTTGTCAAAACACATCATAATCCATTACCGCAACAACCTCATAATCCATTACCACAACAACCTCATCCTTTGTCAAAACACATCATAATCCATTACCACAACAACCTCATCTTTCATCAAAACACATCATAATCCATTACCACAACAACCTCATCCTTCATCAAAACACATCATAATCCATTACCACAACAACCTCATCCTTCATCAAAACACATCATAATCCATTACCACAACAACCTCATCCTTTATCAGTGAACTCCTAGTTTAATTTCTTTTTACTTTTAAGCTTCTTTTCATGATTTTCTGCCATCAAGTGAGGACATTAAAAGCATCACTTATTTAATTTTCATTAAAAAAATAATTGTGAACATTTATCTCACCAATAAAGAAGCAGCTTGACATCGAAACACTAGATAACATCATACTAGGTGCAACTTCTCCAGTCACACGACCGATCTGTTCCTGCATTGTCTCATGTGGCAGACGTTCATCTCTCTAAAAAAAATGGGGGGGCAGAAATTTTGCTTAAAGATACTAAAAACTGTAAGTGATTAATTTACTGATCAACATGATACTAACTTCAAATTAACCCTATCGTGATGGGCATCCTTTACTGAGCATGACAGCAGGTTTTAGTGACTTACGTTCAAAATTTTATTAATCTAAGTTTTGTTTATGTTATACCAATTATTATAGTATAAAATCATAGCCATATTTTAATAGTATACAAGATTTTAAGTTATTAATTTTATAAGGCAAAATATTTTTAAAATCCTGAATTTCTCCTAGTGTGATATATATATATATATATATATGTGACACATTTTCTCTAGGAATCTCTTCATTTTATCCACCACTCCTCCAATAAGTAAGAAATTTAATATAAATTACTCAATGTAAAACTGTTGTTGCTCAGACAAATCATAATTTTTATACCCTTGTTTGATTATGGAGCTATCAAATAAAAAATCAGCCCACCTGTCACATTACCATATTGTTTTCTGAATATAGAACTGTCAATTTCACTGTTAGTACAAGCTTCATTCTCATGGGAAAGATAACTACTAGCTTGAATGAATTTGTAATGGCTCTTGTTGCATAGTTAGAAAGACAGAAAAATTGTAAGAGTTAGGGTAAATTGTCTACTTTTTGACATGTTATTATTCTATGTTCTTTGGTGCATTATTCAATTAAGTGAAAATTATTTAATGCACTACTACTATTAGTATAAAAAAGTAAGGTTAAGTGTCATCAACAATCAACAGCAAGAAAAAAGTAGATTTGGGCAAGTACTTTATTTCTTGTTTTCCATGAGTATTCTTGATTTATTATTACAAAAGTAATTAAAATGTAAAAATACGGAACTTTCTAAGTTAGATTAGGTAAAGTAAATAATGATAAAAATAAAATAAAAATGTTTCATGAGGCACACATGCAAGCAGCTCGTGGATAACATAAAAAATCTATAGTGTAACGTGACCTCTACATTTCCCAAGTGATTTACAACTTATAATTTCATGAATAATAGTTAGATACAGTTCAAAGGGCAATAAAAACAACAAAACTTAAATATAAACAGATGTATACTGTTACAAGTTTAAAGCTACCCAGGATAAACAAATGTAGTTTCATGTTACAATTTGAAGTCATTCTAGAAATAAAAAAAGGGTAATTTGGATTTTTATTTTTTTGATGGTAATGAGGTTGGTCAAATTGACCAACCTTGTATGGAGTTAGGATAGTTTTACTGAAAACAAACGTTTGAAATGTATTTAGGAGGTTTTAATAAATATACAAATCAAATTTTTGAGGTGAAGTATTCTTAATCTTAACATGAAAATCACTTTGCACATGGACTATTCTAAACAAATACCTAATATATTTATGGACAAATCTTTTCTTAGTTTATTTAAAATACTTGACAAAAAATATCATTTTTTGTATGTGAAAGACTTATAATGGTTATAGAAAGTCTGCAAAATTTTGTGAAGATATAGATACTATATTAAAAGTTAGTAGTATCAAATCTATAAAGACTTTATACGAGTACAAAGAGGTCACATGATTGGTCAAATCAAGCCTGGTAAGTGGCTTATCCAGGAAACAAGTCTTTAGCTTCCAACAAGCTTTTATGGACTGACTTTACTAAATGCTCATATCACAACCACTACATTGAAGAACAACATCTACTTTTCATCACACTTACTTGATATGCTTGTACTAGAATGAAGATGTTGTCCACACCCACAGCAAGTACAAGGAAAGGAATAACTTCTATGATAATCAGTGTGGCTGGCACTCCTGCAAAACAAAAGATTCCAAGAGAAGACACGACTGACAATAACACAATCACAACTCCAGCCAGACCAAGAGATATCTTCGAATCAATCTGAAAAAAGGAAAAAAAGATGATAATTAGCTTCTTAGGTTAATCAGCTTTCTCTTTCCCATTAATTTCAAAGTACCAATGTGGTGAAGTACTGCACTATAACATTTTCTGTTATCTATACCCAGTAAAGGGCCTTTTACTAAACCTCTAACACGTATTCTCACACACACATACTGCTCTATAAGGTCAGAGTGAAAATTCACAAGAAAATCTAGTGAACAACAAACATGATTAACCAAGAACAAACCTTTTTATTTTTAGGTTAAATAAATTGAGTTATACTTGAATAAAAGATGCAAATCAATAATATCTAACTCAGTGCAGATGACTTGGTTGTGCAAAGTAAACTAAATAAAGAAGAAACTTACCAGTATTGTCTTGCAGCTATTTACTTCTCCTAAAGCAATAGCAATGTAGGCAACCATTATGATGTAGCTGGTGGCTATTGTTATGATGTCAGAGTGGCTTCCTCTCTCCAGTTCATCTTGTATAGATCGCTGAAATGAAAAACATGAGTAAGGTTGAAATAGCTGACTGTAAAATGCTAAAGCATGGAATAGTTTTTCTGTTTATGGATGGCTGTTCTCAGGATTCATTAGGAAAATAACTAAAGATTAATGGAATAGCTGACAGTAGAATGCTAAAACAAGGAAGTTTTTTTGTTTACAGCTGTTCTCAGGATTCATTAAGAAAATAGCTAATGATTAACATAAGAATAAAATCCCACTGTAAATTGTTAATTTTAACTACATGGGAGCTTCTTTGTTTCAAAGAGTTTGAAATCTAATTAATAATTTCATGGTTGTAAATATTTTAACTTAATCAATTAACAGGAAGATAATAAGCAAATTCAACATACCTCTGCTTTAAAAGCAACCGTCATATTGGGACTGCTAAAGTTCTTCATGAAGTCAATAAAACTACAAGAAAGATTCCACCAGATTAAAATCATGAAAAAGTTAACAACTAAAGTTTTTCAGAAAGTCCACCAGATAAGAAATACAGCAAGAAATCATGCAAACGTCAAATAAAGTTCTTCAGAAAGTCCACCAGTTTAAAACTACAGCAAATGTTAACAACTAAAGTTCCTCAGAAAGTCCACCAGTTTAAAACTACAGCAAACGTTAACAATTAAAGTTCTTCAGAAAGTCCACCAGATAAGAAATACAGCAAGAAATCATGCAAACATTAAATAAAGTTCTTCAGAAAGTCCACCAGTTTAAAACTACAGCAAACGTTAACAACTAAAGTTCTTCAGTAAGTCCACCAGATTAGAAATACAGCAAGAAATCATGCAAACGTTAACAACTAAAGTTCCTCAGAAAGTCCACCAGTTTAAAACTACAGCAAACGTTAACAACTAAAGTTCTTCAGAAAGTCCACCAGATTAGAAATACAGCAAGAAATCAAGCATATTTTTGAACAACTAAAGTTCTTCAGAAAGTCCACCTGATTAGAATTACTGCAAGAAATTGTGAAAATGTTAACAACTAAAGTTATTTAATAACAAGATTAGATCTATGGCAGAAAACGTAATAAGGATTTTTTATCATCATGAGATGCACAAATACCTTACTATAATGGACATAGTATGTATATATGTATCAATGTATGTGACCAAAATAAATACAATGTGGCGCCATCTATTGAATGATCCCACAAACAAAAATCTATAAAGACATTTTACATTTTGGGTATTCAAGATTCAGACAATTGGAAAAATAACTACAGTATGAGCAACAACCACTTCTTTACCACAGAACACAATTTTAAATAAAAGTACTCTCCTCACAACAAGAAAATGACTTTCACTAGGACTGTACATGAGGGTTTGATTATATATTTATTATTGTAATTTCCAAATATAAATTGGAGTTCTTAAAAAAAATGTTATTTTTTCAATAAAGGGTACCACTTTTAATATATAAAAACATTATAGTTTATATCCCCACAATCTAAACACTTTTCCCATGTAGTACTTCCCAGAAAATGTTCCCTTTTTCCAAAATTTTTTCAATAAGGTATAAATACTACGATTATTATTACTAGCAGAAAAATCCACCCTTAGGGTGGCATTTCTGATAATAATTATAACAGCTGGTTAATTGCAAAATTTGAAAGTTAAATTACAAAGTTGTTTTATAGGTTAAAATAATGTCAGTATAAGAACAATATTTAAATGGCCTTAACTCTAATAGTGGATCTTTTTTTTTCTCTTTCAACATCATGTTTTCTTTTTTATCCTGTATTGCGTACAAAAAGTAATAACACAAAATCTATTTTCTAACAGGATGTTAAGAGCACTGACCAAAAACTACTAAACATAACAACAGGAGCTTCTTAGTGAATAAATAGTCACGTGTATGTACCACGACATAACAAGCATTACCATTTTTACACGAGACATCTAGAGTTAATATAGTAGCAAGATGCATTTTGTGAAAATGTTACCTTCTAATATAGGTCAAAATGATTCAAAACACATTACTTTAAAATGGTAAGTTTATACACAATGTACAAAAATGTTATTACTAGTGCATCAGCAATTATTAAACCAGTTTATAAGTCTCATACTATATAGTTACAGACACAACTTACACTTCTTCCCAAACTAAAGCATCCTCATTCAGCTCAGGACTGTTATAGTTGTTTACAGGAAAAGTGATGACTAGAGCTGATGCTGTGTGGAGAGTATTATTTTCAAACCCACCAAAAGCAACTGCAGGAGGTACGAGGGGGCCACCATATGGAGCAAGACAATGGAACTGGTAACCGTTACTGTAAAGCAATGAATTCAGTTAATATCTAGCACAATAAACTTGCTAACCTTCATCAACTACGTTGTGATGCATTGAAACATAGTACTAAGAAATAAACACAACATATTTTTGTAATTATTAGTATCTCACAAATCTTTGTATTGAAATCCAAGTTTGTGCAGTATAACATGAGCCTCTTCTTGACTGATCTAATCTGTTGAGTTACTAAGCTGATGATACCTTACTCGTTGTTGGATATACAAGTAGGCATTATTACTTAATTTATTATGTGAGTTAATATTTCACAATTGTTTACTTTTTTCATAACAAGAGAGTTAAAGCCATTATCTTCAAGGCAATAGTTATGACAAGTTTGGTTACGTAACTCACTAAGTCATAACGATGTGTTTGTAATTCATTGATGTCGAGGCTATTGTATGTTGTGTTTGCAATTGATTGATGTCAAGGCTATGGAATTTCTAGAGGCCTCGGTGATAAGCATATAACTAGCGGCAACCAAACAAGCAGGAGTGGAGTAAAACTAGTCAAGTGAAAGGGATGTTCAGTCAGCTCAAGTTAGAAAATGTGAAGTTAGCCATCATATGAGTGAATAGCCTTAATGGTAGATATGTTGAGTTGAGTATAACAGTTTCATAGAGATAAGGAGAATAATTTGCCTGTCAAAGGGTTTTCTAAGCTAATTGAACCCACCTGTGTGAACTTTGCCAAAAAGAAGACAATTATTTGAAGTTAAGGATACAACTGTGGTAAACCAAGAGGTAGCGTAAGTGAATTATTCACTATTACCACTGTGTTAAAAGTAGAGAAAAATAGTTTGGATTGTCAACTGGATTCTACAGTAATTGAATCAGCCTGAGTGGACTTTTGATAAGAAGAAAAGAAGTGTATAGTGTTTAAGATACAATGGTGATCTCTATAGTGTGAATAAGTTTTGTACATACGTTTATTTTGTTTTGAATATATTATTTTAAAACAAGTGGAGTGGATCACATAAAACCCTGACACTCATAAATAGTAAAATAAGGTCACTAATTCAAAGGGTAAGTTGATGGTGTATTACTTGTAGATAAACAAGTCAGTAATTTCAAGGGTGAGTTGATGACACATTATTTGTAGACAGTACTCCAAGGGCAAGTTGTCAACATGTTATTTGTAGATAGTTAATTTGGATCACTAACTCCAAGGGTAACTTGCCAACACGTTACTTATAGATAGTTAAATCGGATCCCTAATTACAAGCTGATGACACATTATGTGTTGTAGATAGTTACATCAGGTCACCAATTCCAAAGGTAAGTTAATGACACATTATGTATTGAGAGTTAAATTGGGTCAAGAACTCCAAGGATAAGTCATTGACATGTTACTTGTAGATAGTTAAATGAGGTCACTAATTCCAAGGGTAAGTTGAGGACACATTACTTGTAGGCAGTTAATTCTGTCACTACAGGGTTGGTCATATTAGCCCGAGTTCGTAACCATTCTGTACCCGTTACAATTTCCATATTATAATCTTTAATAAAGTATGTGTATCTTCACAAAATTTGGCAGGCTTTCATGAAGTAGTTTTAAAAATATTTGTCCGTGAACATAGCCTTTTTTCTTTTTTTGACTAGTCCAAGTGCAAAGTGATTTTTCATGTTATAATTAAAAATACTTTTCTTCATCTCAAAAATCTTAAATTTCATTTGCGTAATCTCTAAAACCTCTTAACTCTCTCATTAAGGACACGGTCCCAGGAAACAACCTCGTAACCATTTTGTGCTTGTTATACTTTTCATACTACAAGTTTTAATACAGTATGCATATCTTAACAAAATTTTGCAGATTAACAGTAAACATTACAAGGCTTTCGTATACAAAATATCAGATTTTTTAAGTAAAGATTTGCTCGTGCATTTATTCTTTTGAAATGTTGACTGTCACTTTGAACCATGTCTAGCTAATATTTGTGTCATATAAGTTGTAAGTTATGTGGTGAACATCCAGTTTACATTACGGTATCAAATTTCATGATGCACAGACTACTCATGAAAAATTATTATTATTCTTTATTTTACCTTATCTAACCTAAAAAGTTTCTAATTTTTACATCTTAGTTATTTTTATAATAAAAAATAAAGAATACACATGAAAAACAAGAAATAAAGTACTTATCTGGGTCTTCTTTTTCTTGCTGTCGACTGTCGATGACATTTAACTTTACTTTTTTATACTAATGGTACTACTGGACTAATTAATTTTTTTATTTAATTAAATAATACTCCATAGAACACAGAATAACAACATGCAAAAAGCAGACAAAATCCTACAACTATAACAATTTTTCTGGTTTTCTGTGTGACAAAAAGCCTTTAAATTAAAATTCAGCTAAAGTTTGAACTGGAAGTGAAATAGACAATTCTCTGTACAGAAAACAACGTAATATAATACGCCATTTGATAGATTGGAACCTTGGCTTTCTACTGGCTATAGACGATATAGAATTAAATGTAAGAAAGAACTATTAACAAAGAGGGTCTGATTTTCCATTTACCTTATCAAATAAGAGCTTAAAACTTGTATAATGTTAAAATTTGGAATATTAGCTACGTTTTTGCCAAGTAGTTTATTTATGTACTATAATATGAAAGTAGTTTAATTAAATTTTGAATGTAACTCACTAAAACCTTCTGAAATGCACACACAATGACACCCATTCTGAAAGAGTTAACAACTCTAACCTGTGTAAAGTTATTATCAACTTGGGTCACTATCTCCAAGGATTAATCAATAACCCATCACCTGTAGAAAGTTACTCAAGGATTAGTTGACAGCCCACCACCCATAGGAAGTTTGCTTCTTTTCCAAAATAATAAACAAAATTGTGCTTTCATAAAAATGTCTTAAGTGTTATCCACAAACAACAGAAAAAGAAAACTTACCTTGTGCAATCCAGTATATGAGATAAGTATTCAACAGGTAGAGATGTTTCTCCTTCACTGAAGAATGAGTGAAAATAAGCAAATACACTTTGTATAACACAAGCTTTGTTTTCTGGAGCCAGTGGAGCAAGACAGATGTCTGACAGGGAGATATTTTTACCATCTTTACTCACTACCAAACTTTCTACTTTCCTTTGCAAGTTCAGAACCTGGAGAAAGAAAATGACAGATACAAACCTTCAAATATGTTGGATAACAGATAAAGAAATACCTTGTCAATGCAAGTTGTTTGAAAAAATGAAGTTTAACCTCAGATTATGAAACTAACCTGGAAACCTTTCCTAAACACAGGTCCCCATGTATAGTTAGCAAAGAAACTCACCTTTAGACAGAAGTCCTT